TTTTTTATTCATGGATGCTCTGAAATGAAGTCTGTCTTTTCCTGGTGAGTCATGAAAGGTATGAAGTTGGATCATCTTTAACTGAGAAATACTTTGGTCTAGACAAAAAGATGGTCTTCTCTGATAAACTCTACCAGCTATAGCTTGCGAAGTTGCATGGTGTCTATAAGGCCCATAAGTTAATTTTCCACCTTGCCTGATGCACTTATTTCACGTTCTGCCCTAATAAAGGTTCATGAGTGGTTCTTTTCCCTTGATTACATTGAGGAAGGAAGGACAGAACACATGCGTGATGCATTTCTAGCTAAAGCTCCAGTATGATTGCCTGTAATTTGTACCAACATGCCAGTTTTTAACATAAAAGTATGAATATCAAGATTCTGCTATTATAAGAAAGGCAGAATAAGCACCTTAATAAGCTGTCCATCTAGCATGTTTTGAAGACACCATGGAAGCCTTATTACAAAATGTCCTTTCAGTATTACAGAATCCCATCATTGGAGAAGGTATGCCTGTGTTGACATTAATTGAAATAGAGATTTTTTCAGGCTGGCAAAAATGCATTTTCCAGATATGGTAGTTCCAAGTGTATCTTGCGTTTCAAGTGGCAACGTTGTTTTAAGCTTGTGGGACACAGTGTATGTGCCCGGTTTTCCAGTTTGTTCTCAGGAAGGTTAAGTGAAATTAGACCAACTGGACTAAATTATCCTTTCATATGGAAATTGCATTGCTGTTTAGATGTCAGAATGGGACATGTACAAAGGAGCTTAGTTCTTTTACTGCTTTCCATAAAATAATGAATCCTTGAGCTGAAGGTTGAGGAGCTCCTAGGCTTTGCTTCAGAATCTATGGAAAATAATCTTTCATTATCTTCCCTCTGCTGTACCCCTTTAAAAGTTGTAGTGACTTTTCTTACAGCAGAATATGTTGTTGCCTTTTTCCAATGGGTTGCAAAGTAGGAGCTGGATTGTTTCTGCTCTGCCAAGGGGCCACGTATCCATGTATATAGAATATTCAGCTGTTGTCAGGTACCTTGCTGTTTACTGGGGCTTCAAATATCTCATCTGTTTTACTTTGTGGAATCAGAGTCAGGAGCTGTCCCTTGAGCTCTCAAACCTTTAGAACGTCTGGTCAGGTAAGAAAGGGTCACTGAAGTTTGTCTGCAGCATCCTACCAGGATTCTGCTGTAGAGGATTAAAATTTTGAAATTCATCAAATCTCTTACTTCTTGGAAAAAACCCATATGCTTTAAGGCATATGATACCTGTGATGCACAGAGAGGAGAATGTGCTGAAGCACACGATGCTGAGGAATTTGAAGCAACTCTGAGCATCTGCTAAACGATTCAAATTATTTGGATCAATGGATTTTTGTTTTGGACACTGATCATCTCATTAATTCTACCTCACCTACTGTCTTTAAACATGAGTTAAGTTTTGTTTAAATCTAGATGCCTCTATGACTGACCATTCTGAATGTCAGAAGCCAGCCTGCCGTGCAGTAAAGCTTTGGGGGGATTAGGCCAATCTCTCATTGTGTGGAGTAGAATATAAGAATAGAAATATGCAGTAGAACAGGATATAATGCTGAAAGTAGAAGTTTTTGAGAATCTCTTCAGGAAAGAATACTCTTAAGACTTTTATAAAGTTACAGACAAACTTAACATTTAAACAAAGCTGAAAGAAAATGAATTACTGTTAATTTACAGCTTGGCATGCTGTTTTTTCTTCAAATTGTGGCTGAAGTTACTAAAAATGGTGTTTCGTTCCTAGGCAAAAAAAGTTATTTCATTATTAAATTACATCTAGTGTGAGATAATTCTTTATGCAATGTCAGTTTTTTCCAATTTTATTTTTTTTATACTGGAATCTGAGTTCAGAGTCCATCTCCTGCTAGAGTTCCAATCAAATGCAATGTATCCATGGAAGCACATGCTCACTTCTGTGAACAAGCAAATGCAGCTCTGAACAGTGGTACTGTGAGCATGAGGGTAAGACTTCAGTGATTGCAATACCCAGCACTTCCCACTCCTCACAGGAAGGAGCTGCACCTTTCTGAATTTAAGGTTTTTGCATCCCTATATGCTTCTAGAAAATGAGTAAAAATACTTTTAACTTTGGCATGTATCTTCCTTGTCCGTATCAGCTTCTACGTGATCCTTATATTATCTGAACTTCTGTTATTTAGTTGTTTTTCATTTCAGTGTGATCTTTGTTAATCTTGAGTATCAAAAGTCCTCGAATGATTGGAATAGATGTGCAATCACCAGGTTTTGAAGTAATGCTGGACATGACGTCATGCCAATCCAGCCAGCTTGCTTTTTCGATTAATGGAAGACCGCTGCTGTGAACTGCTCACCTGTCTGCCTTCAGAGGGCCCACGGAGAGTCGGCAGCAGACAGGAGAATGTCTAACAGTCACTGAGGGCTAGAGAAAGAGAGGTGCAAATTTACTGCTAGCATGGCAGTGCTAGCCCCCGGTTCAAAAACTGAATTCTTACAAACTCGGGCTGCTCTTGTAATCTAGCAGCCTGAGATAATTACCAAGTATCTGTTTGGTTAATTTTAACTGGTTTGGGAAATTATGATCATACCATTTACCATACCCCCAAATGACGGTCAACTCCATTTACCACAGATGTAACCTCTTACTCTGACCTAGAAAAACCTGAAAAAGCTTCATAGAAGAAGCATCCCAAGCTGTTGCCCAGATTTTTGCTAAGTAATTAACCCACAATAAACATTTCCCAGTTTTCATTTTGACTTTATGCTAAAGAAATGTCCAATATTTTGCTAGTTTAAGATTATAAAAGTCTGAAATAGACAAAATTCTATTTTTTAGAGTTCAAATCTTATGGTCTGGTCAGAAGATATATCCTAAATGTTTAAATCTATTTAAATATATTGTAAACCATTCTTTTAAAGTATGAACAAATGTACATGTATTCTCATTTGGATTTCGTAGTACTGGCATGATCTGCACTGCATCTTCTGTGAATTTGACTCACAAGGCATTTATATAAAATATAAGGCAAGGATTGGGCTGAACCCTAAATCATAGATTCATGGAATGGTTTGGGTTGGAAGGTCATCTAGTCCAACCCTCCTGCAGTGAGCAGGGGCATCTTGCCATGGTAGTCTTTTCCAAGAATCTAGTTTTCTAACTGGGGCATTTTATAAGGGTGAAAAAAACTGCTAAACTAAAGATACTCTAAATTGTATAAAGTTTTTGCTCTGATTATTGAATATAATCAGAAGGGGCAGTACGGAGTGAGGAAGATAGAACGATCTATTCTAAGCCAATCATTTTTGAACCCAGTAATGAGTTTTGTAAAGTTTAAAACTAAAATGTTGAAGTGTGTTTATATCTTTAGGAGCCTGTTTTAAGAGAATTACATCTGCTAGAGAGGAAACTGATGTTTTTACTCAAGAAGTATTTCACTTTTTATTGGGATGAGTATTTTTAATCTACTCCAACTCTAAGTATGCAAGTTCCTTGTTTGCTAGCAAGAGTGATGATCAAACTGTTTTGTTTTCTTGGGCAAGTCAGTCTTTCTAGATGTGTTCTAGGCTGTAACTCTGTTTTTCATGCAAACTTTTTGCCTCTGAGAACAGCTAGCTACATAGAATTTCGTATTCTTTGAGAAGCTACACAGGACTAGAGATAGCAGGGTAAATGGTAATTCGGTAGATGATAACTCTACAGAGGAAAACACTTTTTTCAGTGTCTATTTAATTCTTTTTATAAATCAGAGTTCTGTAGTATTTATCTAAAAAGGACATGCCAAAGAGTATTCACTCAATACTCAGTGCAAAATTAGGGTAAGTCACTACTATATTAATAGCAAATAGACTGTGTAAAGCTATATCAAAGGTCGTAGTAATTTAAATACGGTGTATCATTGTGTAGGCGCTTAGTTTGTGTCAAGATTCACAGGCAGAGGAAGTCTAGTAGTCCCTGCTGAAACTCCAGCTGCCTCTAATTGCTCTAGATTTTCTGAAAAGAGGCAGCCTGTAAGACACACAAGTGACAAATTATAAGGCCAAAGCCAACACATTCACATTCAGTGGGAAAACTGAGTTGTACTGATCATGGAGCAGAAGAGCAGAGCACCCTGGATAGAAAGTCCTCTTAACTGGGCAGCTGTATTCAAGTCTAGCAGCCAGTGGTCAGGTGGCTTTCCTCTGTGCAGAGTGTGCTGCTGCATTAGCTTCACTTCTGAGGTGGCAACAGCATGGGCTGCTTGGGTCAAATCTTCATTCACATTTAACAACGTGAAGTAAAACTGAAGAAAGCTTTCTTGCCAGCTGCATTCAGAAGAGCACTGACTGCCACACACAGTCACAGTCTTACTGGCTAATTTGAAGTCCTAAAATTCTGAATCACTTGGAGCAATTTTTATTGAACCTTCCTTCTTTCTTTCTTTTGAATGGCTTTATTTAAATATAAATAACAACAGCAGGTCTTTGACTCATAATAAAACACAACTAATGCTATTCTTTTTTGCTCATTCTTATTGGTTTTAGGTGAGCATTTTTTTTCATAGTTAAGTATGTGAGCATGGAATTCTAATTATCTTTTTACCTGTCCACTTTTTTTGACCCTTTCTTCTAATATTTATCCTTTGCATATAGTAACCAGAAACTTGGCGCCTCCGTTGTAAGATGATCGTCACTGATACCAGCAGATATCACTGATAAAAAGCTCAGATACAGTTGTTGGATAAGAATCCTGTATTCACCAGCCTGTATTCTCACTGCTCAAAATCATTAATTAATCAAAAAAACACACTCATATGCAGCAAACATTCTTGTCTCCATTCTAAAATCAATACTGTATGAGAGTATGATCTATTCGGTGAATTTATGAAAACAAACAGCCTTAACAGTTATTTGTAATTTGTGTCTCTTAATCGCTTCTTGAGCTGTTTTTCTTTATTTAAAAAAATGCTTTATAAATTAATCTGTTCTTTTTCTTCCTTCTGCCTTTATCCTTTCCAAGGTTATGCCTTTCTGCTCTTCCAGGAAGAAAGCTCTGTACAAGCTCTGATAGATGCCTGTCTGGAAGAAGATGGGAAACTCTACCTGTGTGTCTCAAGTCCCACAATCAAGGATAAACCAGTAAGTAGCTTATGCCATGACACTTATGCTGGTTGCTAACCCATTTGCTGTTACTCTTTCCAGTTGATAGGTAAATAAATACTTACAGTCGATTGACTTGTCTATTTCCTGTTGCTGTCCTTGCTGTTACGTTGAACTGACCTTCTCTATCAGCGTAACACGGTTTAACAATTGTTTCTTTCTGATTAATGCCTTGTTCAATTAACTTTTGTATTTGGTACTTCTGGTATCGCACAGGAGTATGCATCCTTTTACAATGTTAGCTGTAAAACAATTGGATTATAATTTTTCCCTGTATGTTATTTGAAAGAAAGCCTTATGCAATGAAATGAAGAAACTTAACCTCCCAAATTAAAATCCAGATGGCTTCAAATATCCTCTGTACTTCATTAGGTTCCTTAATTACTGTTTTTTCTGCATGCAATACCTAATCCATTTATAATTTAGGTCTCATTTACCTTATATAAACTGCAGGGTAAAAACAAGTAATGCAGCCAGCTGTAGCAGAATGGAAGACATTTGGTGACCTGTTTCTATTGTTCACATCTCTAACATTCTTTAATGTTAGTCTTTTTCGTGGCTATGGCTACATACAGATTAGATGAAAACTACAGCTAAATATGTTTGGATAAAAATGTGCTGCCTTTTAAAAACACTATTGAAAAGCTTACACAGATAAATGAACAACCCAGTATTACAGCACAGTGAGTGTGCCTCCGTGATTTCTAGGATCAATAAATGGGTGGATGAACAGCTTTATCCAAATAACCTCTGAGTTTTTTTTTTCCGAGTAATCTAAAGATTTCTTATGAATGTGTTGCTTGCTGCTTAACAGAAGTGAGCATTCACACATTGTAAGAACTCTTTTTGTATCCAAGCACAGAAATTAATTTTATCTCCACTCTTATCAGTGCTTTAAAATTTGTGGATCACTGTATGTGATTTCAGGAAAGCCAGATTCTCAAACTGCAACTGTAATTGCACATACATGGTAAAATATTCTGAAAGTCTTTTCACAGATTTCTTGTAATGGCGATTAGGGGCAGGGAATTAATGAGGTAGGAGTTTGCCATGATGAAATTTAACTCAAGCCTGGCCTCTAGAGGTGATAAACGAATTGTCCACCTTCTTTCTGACACTTGGATAAGCTATATTCTCAAATTGTTTTGGCGCTTATACCGCCGATTTACTGCTTTTGCTAATTTCAAATAATATTTTTAATTAGGG